CTGAATCGTGCCGATTTTATAATCAATCCAGTTTTATTAATCTGTTCCGTCTTTTTCATTTCTTACGATACTTTTCAGTCATTCCTTGTCGTCTGTAACGAGATTTCTTTTATCCAATCAAATCCTTTTTATTATACACAAAACTCAGTATATTGGATTACCATAGCAAACGTGACCAATGAAAAGCAAGTTGTTATTAAAAGATTTTCTCTACTGAAAGTCAGAAATTTGTCCTTAAAGAAAGTTAGCATCTTAGACTTCAAGATTAGGTAATTGGCATTACAGTGAATATTTGCATACATACTGACAAAAGTTCTTTGTAGCTAAGAACCAAAATATGTGTAATCTTAAGTCAGAATGGAGAGTGTATATATTTTAAACTGTATAATGACATTGCACCAAACAAAGTTTTTGAAGCAATGAGATGAGGTTTAAGAAAATTGGCAATACCTTGAAAAGGTAAAAAGAATGTTAAAGCGGAACATTCTAGGATTGTGTGGGGTGAAATGGATGAACCCCTTAGAAGGGTACATTATTGCTTACTAAAACCACAATTAAAACCAGGCAATATATTAGAATAAAAATAAAGACACTCATTGGCCCCAGGATGCAATAATAGATCCAAAGTTTTGGTTCACAAACATCCAAACAAAGAAATCTTTAATTTTGATCTATTATATATTCTTCACATCATCTAATTACCGTGAAATCAATACAAATCATTGTCTGTAGATGGTCAAATAAAGTTCAAAATGGCCGCCACAATGACTAAAACAACTTTAATGACAACTACCAATCATAATTAGGCTTACAACATTATCATCTAATACATAATAAGCTTACAATGTAAATGAAGGTAAGTAATTAGCTCAACCTCATTAATAACTGTTTCCATGGCAACCGATATTTTCTTAGTAACAATATGATTTTGATATTCATCAAGGAATTTCAATCCATTGAATTGGGAGACGTACAAGAAAAATCCTTTCAGAAAAATGTTAAAAAAATTGGGAATTGGAAAAAGACGAGAGTTAACTATTTCAATGAAACTAAAATTATTCTTAAAAATTCAAACAATTGAGAAAAGATAAGCAAAGCGCAAATGTAGAGCAAAGAAATAAACCATTTGATAGCTATGAAAACAAAACTATTTGCCAAAAAATTTAAGTCCAGCAGCATTGCATATAATTGCATCAAGACTATTTCAATATCATTTTGAATATAATTGACTAAAAGCAAATTGTAAATGAAAGCAAATAGCTGACGCAAATTATATTAACAATTTAACAATATGTAAATTTCAATTGAGACCAATTAGAAAATTCAAATGTAATTGAAACTTGTTGGAAAACTGCTGTACCAAAGCAGAGTTTTTGCATATTAAATCTATCATGGTCTTCAAATGGAATAAGGGCACTCTCAACCACAATTTTCAAATTTTCCAAATCAAAATGACTGCTATTTTTCAATTTTGATTTCAGACCAAAAGACAAAATGGTGGTTTACAACTGAGTACCTGGCAACCAACCACAAATTTAGAATTCAGAAGAAAAAACCAAAATGGTGGTTTATGTTCAAGATAGGTCCACGAAATCAGATTTAAAATGGAAAAACAAGTGGCAAATTTTGAGTTTAGACAAATAAAAAAGTGAGGCCCACATCAAAGTATGATGTCAACGGCAAATGTAGTATTTACACCAAAAAAACAAAATGGCTGCTTACCTGGTTTCATCTATATACACAGTTTCTAAGACTGAAGATGCATATTCTAAATTTTTCTTTAAATCTTCCTTCGTTACATCATCTTTTTCTAATCTACGAATTAAATGCCGTAACCTGGAAAAGGTATGAAAAGAAAATTAAGTTCCAAAATAAAAAAACAACATCAGGGTCCTATATTGAAAAAAAAAAGTATAATCTATTGGACAAGCTGTATAAATTCTCCGAAATACATTCTGGAATAACAAACCAAAAAAAATCATATAAAACATTGTTGGCTAAAAGATCTTAAACAGGCAAACACAATAAATGTCAAAAATAGATAGGTTCAAGATTGAGGACCCAAACCGTGAAAGATCTTATATATCTCACCACTCCCCACCCCCATTACCACCTGTGTTGGTATCTGTAACCCAACCCATTTTCCACTGAATAGTAAATACAAGTTCACTTTGGTCCAGAAAATATATGAACAATTTAAATATTTCAAATACATACCCATTTAAAACATCACTGATATCAAATAGAGACATGTTTCAATTTTCTATAATAAATAATCTTAGCAATGTGAACTCTCCAAAAGGGGTTGCAGAGTTGACAAAGTCAAAATTCACACATTCTTTACTTTTAGATCATTGCACGCACGTGTAAATATCAGTTGAATAACTTAGTTCACAATCTTAGTTAAATAAATCCTAGGTTTTGAAATGGAACTCAAGTCAAACATAATATTATAAACAGTGTCAAATAGCAGAATCTATGTACAGTCACTGTCCAGCACCAGATGAATGAACCTGCAATTCTGATCTAAATTTTAGCAGAATATATACAATCTGTTCCTAATCTAATTTTTGAGAAGTCTAACAGAAGCATGCATCAATCAAATAACATTTAGACCTGGACTGATTTTCCATAATATGTAAATTTAAATCACAACATATTGCACAAAGAAACCAAAGCAGAGACTATTAAAAGTAAATCCAATTTAGGTCATTGCATGCATGCATGTGCAACAATAAAAATTACCAAAACTTAAAGTTGTAACACTGATAAAACAGATTGAAAAAATCTCTCGATTCAAAACTGGATGTAAAGTGAGCGTTATGAATCAGAATATAAAAATGAAATGAAAATAATAACTATATGATTATATATTATCATTCCAAAAGGTCATCACGTAAAAAATAATCTAGCAACTAATTTAAAGTTGGCACAATGCCAATAAATATTTCTGGAATAAATGGATAAGATGATAGTAATCTCTAATCACCACCTAATTAGCCTATAATTAACAACCAACATAAGTACGTGGAATTATAACCTTAACGAACAATTTTTAGACTAAAAAATCAATAATTGTGATAACTTTTGACTTTCTTGTCTTGTTTTTAAATAGTGATTAGCTTGTATAAAAAATAAAACCAATATATATCGGAAATCAAAGTTGACACAAACAAGAAATGAAATAGAATTTTACAGCCTACTTTTCGCTCCTTTCTCTGATTGAGTTGATGAGGACAATAACATTGTGATGCGTTATAAGAAGTTATTTTAGATTAATTAACATACACGCTCTATAGAATGAAAAATGACAAAAACAATGTTTCTTTTTCTACAGCTGATTGGGATAATCAGATAATATTATGCAGTGTGTACTAACAGAAGTTTTTTCAGGATAGTGTCATTTCTGTTGAGGCATCTATGGTAGACATAGACTCATTTTATTGTCCTCTCTGTACACCTAGAAATTTTTCATTTCAATTTCAGTCACCGAGGAGGAAAACTGGTTGTTACTCCAAAGATCCTATTTCTAACTATGCCAAGAACGAACCCTTAACCTCCAAGATACCAAGTAAGCATCTAACTTGCAGAACCACTTCAGATTGAAGATCTTTCTGACCAAAACAAACATCAGCAAGATGTAAAAAACTTATAAACCAAATTGAAGTTTATTACTACATGACCTTTTTAAAATTCATTTCTTTATTCAGTTATTTAAGTCTATTATTGACTGAATGAGGCCAATTGTCAACTACAGATTTTTTTTGGTACATTGGTTCAAGGGATATTAAATTATGTCATTTTGACTTCTTATAAGAGATGTTGAGTTGGCAAATCAAATTATTAGGGCTATATCAACTCTCTGTTAGAGGAAAACCTAGTTGCGGAGCATATTCAAGAACGCTAAGTACACTGGACATTAGGGCTGGGTAAAATGATCAATATAATCGATTATTGTTTCTGAAATTTGTGATTTTGATTATCAAATTTCATAATCAATTATAAGTTATATTTTCTCCACTGTACATGTTAATAAGTAGTAATCTCTTCAATATAGGTTCTCTTCAGCACATAACTTACCCACATTAAACTATGATAACCAACAGCAAGAATATACTTCTATGACGCAAGAAATTACGAATTTTAGCATGTTTTTAATTCAGTATTTACAGGGATTCTCAAATAAACTATTTTGATTATTAATCAATTATTGATCAGTAGTCTGTCATTGATAATCAATCTCAATATGGTAATCGATACCCAGTCCTACTAAACATTGCATTTTAATTCATCTGGGCCATTATACATAACCAACAAACTACCTTTATCACACTTCAGAAATCAAATTAAAAAGCGTGGTTCATCTACAAGCCATAAAGGATAATTCATGATAGTCTGTGTTTGACTATTATTTTTTTAGTATTTTTCTTTAATAAAGATTTTGATATGAGTGTGTCAGCTTTCCCTCTTGAAATTGCAACATTCTTAATGATCAAAATAAAACTTTTTATCATCAAAACCAAGAGTCAGCAATTTAATTTCCTCTTGTCCAACTTGCCTGTAAAATGTTTCTTCAATTGATTTAACAAAAACAACAGCGCAATAAAATCAATTTAATGTTGATTTGAAAATGTTCAATGCAATCCTTCAGATCAGGGTGAAGATTTTTATTTTCGATTTCCAATAATGAAATATGTTTTCAGTTGATCAAATTTTAATCTACTGTACCAGTCTATTTTTTTTTTACTCTTACTGTAGTGAGAACTTTATTGTGTATACCCTAAAGCATACACCATATGGTTTTATTGATCCATTTAAATGATAAGAGCACTTCTTGTCTATCCCTTTGTTTTGCATCAGTTTTCGGTAGCAACAGAAATTTGCAAATATGATGAGCTACAATGTTATCTTAGAGATTAGTGTAATTAAAAGGTAACAAGTTACTATACAACAAAAGGCACAGGGTTAAAGCAGTGTTCACTATTGTTAAGGCTAGTATTTTAAAATGGGAATTCGTAGTACCTATAACATAATATCATCATAATATATCATTATTATTACATAATATATATATATACTAATTTAAATACTAATTTCTTTATTTCTTTCATTGCCATCTTAAGTCAACTAGCCTCTTACTCACTAATAATCAAAAAATATTCAAAGAAATTTCTAGAGCTGTCATTAAATCAAATTGGCAAAAAGGAAGTGTTTATGTACAAAAATTCCTGAAGTTTTTGAACTAAACATGAAATATAAATTAATTGAAATGAGTCTGGCATTAAAATTATCTTATTTTTATCGGAGACAAGAAAGTTAGTTGTTCTTAGAATCTTATGGCCAGCTGTCAGATAGATCGGAACTTTAATCAAATAAAGCTAATTTCTCATAGACTTGGCAACAATATTACAATAAAATCGTAGTTGTTCTCTATTTTAATTTGCCTTAGTTATGAAAGCAGTGATCTGAGGCTTGTTTCATAAAATTTTACCTAAGATACAATGCAGATATTAGATTAACTGATCTAAATTTTAAAGGGATTGTAAAGATTTTTTTTTTAGATTTTTTATGTAAATCATCATTGAATTGCATCATTCCAATTTTGGATTCTTTAATACCTGCAATTCCACTAAGAGTTTGATGATGTCACTAATTACAAAGGGCCTTGTGCAATAAAGCATATTTTGCAATTGGTGAATTGCAGGAACCATAGACGCCCATCCTAAAATTGGAATATGGCAAATTGATGCTATCAGTGTCTCCGAAACACATACAAAATTTTAAAAACCTCTTTACAATCTCTTTAAAGGGAACTGTCAGTCGATCAATCAATCAATCAAAAATTATTTCTCCAACAATCTAATAATATTCTTCATGATTTTTTTATATTTACAATATAGACTTTTATCTAATTTTGAACATATCTTGAAGAATAATACTAGCTATGTAAATTGAGAGATCCCAATTTGACTAATCACAGAATATTACATCATGATATTTAATATTATTTACATTCAAACTTACCGTAAAGAACAGATATGGGAAGCCTCAGGACAGTCGACTGGTGGAAGTTTGTCTGTGTTGAGGTCCACGCTGGCATAAGAATCTGCGCTATCCATACTTATACTTGATGCACGACTACTGGAGCTTCCAGTCTTCCGAGAATTTGATCTTCGTAATACTGTGAGGGAGCCTGTCCCTGAAATATAAAATAATAAATTTAAAATTCCATTCAATAAGCTTACTGATGTTTGCAATGCTCAAATGGATGCTACAAACTAAAACAAAAGTTTCAAATGAATAAACTTATCATTTAGTTCAGATGTCACACTGATAACTGATGCCTCAGCAAGTGCTTTGGGAAGTTCATTCAATAACCTTATGTTTCTTTGACCATATGCATATATGTTAAGTTTAGCTAATGGCGAGTAATCATTACTGAGACTTAAGCCGAATTACCTTTCAGTCACATTTAACAATATTTCAGTTGATGATAACTGATGCCTCAGTAATTGCTTCTGGAAGTCAATACCCTTACCTTTCAGTAAAGATTTGTTAACATTATTTCAGCTGTCACAATGATATTTTATAAAATGTATTTAGCAACAGCTGGCAATAAATTTTGTTTTTTTTTGGTGTTTTTTGACCTGCTTACAATTTGTTGTTGTTGACCGAACAAATCTCTGTGTATCACAATGTGCAGATCAAGATCCTTCATTTCATGAATTTACAGCAGTTATCTACATTTTCCAGTAATGATCTGATTAAATTAGACTTTGAATCATTCAATTTTAATCTAATAGCATTTAAGTCATTAATATATTCTAACCAAGCAAAACCATTTAAAGGTATTGTTAAGAGTTTTTTTTAATTTCATTTATATCAGGGACACTAACAGCAACGATTTGCACCATTTATTTTTTCAGGCAGATGGTATTGAAAGATCCACAAGAAAATAGGAATAGTGCAAATTGATGCATATAAAACATATAAGAGTTTAGAAAACATTTTAACAATTCCTTTTAAATTTGGCTGATACCAGTCAATATTTTACAATGTTTCAAAAGTTTGTGTCATTGCTAAATCTTTGGTATCTGGTGTCACTCTGCTATTGGCTTTATCATCTTGAAAATTCATTCAAACTAACTAGAAAATCCTTACACTTTCCACAGGCAATAATAAAAAAAATCTAAAAAATTTGAAAAATAAATCAAAACTTACGAGAAAGTTGACCATTTCTGGAAGCTACTGTTGAGTCATCTTTGGCTTTCTCTGGAGGATTGGCAACTGTAAGTAGAAATTACAGTACTTATTAATAATAAAATTAGTCTACACATTAAAAATTTAGTTTTGCAAATCTCAGGTGTCATAGTTTTTATCAATCCGTTAGATCTATTTCCATAAACAACTCCAAACATGCAATATTCAAAGATTACTTTTGATTATCTTTTCTTTCAATTGCAAGAGTGCCTGATACATTCTGATACTGTAAACAGGTACAGATATTTCTGCTCATCCTGGTCTGATTCAAAACATGACTAAGACCAGTCCACTTTATTGGTAGGTAGATTAAATGGTAGTAAAAACTATACAAACTTAGCTTAAATTGAATCAAGTACTACCTAAACTACCAATTAATAAAATAGACTGCTCGAAACAGACCCGGATGAACAGATAAATCTTGGCAGCACTATATTCGATTCTTAACTAAAAAAAATCAAAAATTTTATGTTAAAATTTTGCATTAAAATTTTGTATTCAATTGTGAGATTACACTATGCTTTAGAAAATAATGTGAAGCTATGAATATTCAATGTTGAAATGGAGTATTTATATCAGATGCTTGTCATTGATATCTGTATATAATATATATATAAGGTTTATATCTTTGTATGGTATATTTTATGCTATGAATATATAATGAAATAACAGATTTTGTTAACATATTTATAAGCATGCCTTGTTGTTTTTACTGTTTATCAGATCTGTGTTTAAATTAAGTCATGATTTATGTATGAGAAATAAAATGAATTTTATATCTAAAACCTCTGCACCTGATTGGGTTTATGACAACTGCAGTATGCAATGAGGGAAATTCTTTGAACGACTACTCTGACGTCCACAAAAGTTCCTGCTATATAAATCAGAAGAATTCCTATGTGATCAAAGATTGATCAAGAAAGAAAAAGATAGATTGGTCTTGTACTGACAGACAAAAACAAGATTCAGAAAGGTTTTGATCAACTTCAAAGAATCTATGCCCTTTGATCAATTCTATATTAGGCGCCAATCAATCAAAAATACATTCCTGCAAGTTTAATTATCAAATATTGTTGAAAATGATTCACAATTGAGTGAATATGTAGCATCACAAACTCTTGTATTTTTTACTATAATTACTATAGCATGGAAATGAAACATAAATACTTTAAATTATAAAAGAGATATTCCTGAGGAGCGGAGGAAAGTTATTTGCAGGAATATTATTTGGCATCACAAACTTTTGTATTTTAATTGGCAAATATGTTTCAGAAACAGAGCACACATACTTATCATAATCATAAACCTACTTTGTCGACTAAATAGGGCTAATTCAACTGTTGAAAGTTCTAGTCAGACATGACTGGTAAATATTACCAAATCACTAGGTAATAATATAGTCAAATTACTAGTTTAGAGTTCTAGTCAGACATGAATGGTAAATATTACCAAATCACTAGTCTACCGTTCTAGGTAATAATATAGTCAAATTACCAGTTTAGAGTTCTAGTCAGACACGAATGGTAAATATTACCAAATCACTAGTCTACAGTTCTAGGTAATAATATAGTCAAATTACCAGTTTAGAGTTCTAGTCAGACACGAATGGTAAATATTACCAAATCGCTAGTCTACAGTTCTAGGTAATAATATAGTCAAATTACCAGTTTTGAGTTCTAGTCAGACACGAATGGTAAATATTACCAAATCGCTAGTTTACAGTTCTAGGTAATAATATAGTCAAATTACCAGTTTTGAGTTCTAGTCAGACATGAATGGTAAATATTACCAAATCACTAGTCTACAGTTCTAGGTAATAATATAGTCAAATTACCAGTTTTGACTTCTAGTCAGACATGAATGGTAAATATTACCAAATCGCTAGTTTACAGTTCTAGGTAATAATATAGTCAAATTACTAGTTTAGAGTTCTAGTCAGACATGACTGGTAAATATTACCAAATCACTAGTCTACAGTTCTAGGTAATAATATAGTCAAATTACCAGTTTAGAGTTCTAGTCAGACATGAATGGTAAATATTACCAAATCACAAATCTACAGTTCTAGGTAATAATATAGTCAAATTACCAGTTTTGAGTTCTAGTCAGACATGAATGGTAAATATTACCAAATCACTAGTCTACAGTTCTAGGTAATAATATAGTCAAATTACCAGTTTAGAGTTCTAGTCAGACATGAATTGTAAATATTACCAAATCACTAGTTAACAGTTCTAGGTAATAGTATAGTCAAATTACCGGTTTAGAGTTCTAGTCAGACATGAATGGTAAATATCACCAAATCGCTAGTTTACAGTTCTAGGTAATAATATAGTCAAATTACCAGTTTAGAGTTCTAGTCAGACATGAATGGTAAATATTACCAAATCACTAGTCTACAGTTCTAGGTAATAATATAGTCAAATTACCAGTTTAGAGTTCTAGTCAGACACGAATGGTAAATATTACCAAATCACTAGTCTACAGTTCTAGGTAATAATATAGTCAAATTACCAGTTTTGAGTTCTAGTCAGACACGAATGGTAAATATTACCAAATCGCTAGTTTACAGTTCTAGGTAATAATATAGTCAAATTACCAGTTTTGAGTTCTAGTCAGACATGAATGGTAAATATTACCAAATCACTAGTCTACAGTTCTAGGTAATAATATAGTCAAATTACCAGTTTTGACTTCTAGTCAGACATGAATGGTAAATATTACCAAATCGCTAGTTTACAGTTCTAGGTAATAATATAGTCAAATTACCAGTTTTGACTTCTAGTCAGACATGAATGGTAAATATTACCAAATCGCTAGTTTACAGTTCTAGGTAATAATATAGTCAAATTACTAGTTTAGAGTTCTAGTCAGACATGAATGGTAAATACAGCCAAATTACAAATTTAGAGTTCTAGTTAAATATGACTGGCTAATATAGCTAGATTAACAATCCTTGTACTGACCTTTTTCTACAGGCACAAACGATTTTTAAATGGTGATGAAGAATCAAAAGTGTTTTCTTTCATTTAACAATTGCTCACATAAAAGAACACTTTTCCAAATTTCAGACTGATTTCCAATACTGCCTCCTTCACAAAACAAAACCTTCAAAGAAATCCAAAGAAAAAATGTCCCATTCACAAATTTCAAAGCCTCAAACAAATAGAATAGATATTTGTAAAGTACTAACTCAAATATACTGTAACATTGGCTCTGATTGGTTGATTGGCTTCAAGCTATGATACATTGACGATTTTGATTGGTTGTTTGTTTGTTTACGATGTTTATCTAGCTATTCAAACAGATTTCAAACTGAATCTCAGTTCGTGGGATGGAGAATCTTGCCGAAAGCGACTTAATATTTTAGTTAAATATTTTGCCAACAGCTAATCTACAACTATCCGAGACGTATCGTAGTAGTTTAGTATTTGAATCAATACGTACAGCGGATTAGTTCTGGAATCTAGACTAGTTATTTGTAATTAATATCAGCAATTTACCATTTAGCCTCCGGTATAATAACTATTGGAAAAACAGAAATATAGTTTCCGACGTCTGTCAAGTCTGTCTATTCTTCTTCCTTTTGATATCTCAATCTTGAAGTTCTACTGCCCTTCCCATAAGATAGCACTACAACAGCCTGATCTATCTATCTAAAATTATAATCCACTGACATCGACAAAATCAAGAATCAGGTAGAACTGAAATAAGTTGAAATTAAAATAGTTTGGGTCAGAAAATGCTGATGGTCACATCCAGTCTATAAGCTTTCAGTCTACTGTAATTACATGTTAATTTTAAAATGTCCTAGGTCACGATTCTCTATCATCTTTAGGATTTACTGATTTCCTATTTGATATCCAATGTCCTTGAAAGCCAATTGTTTTTATATTGAAGTAGCTTCATCAGAATATTTGTTGCCGTAGGGGGAAAAACAACACATCTTAAATATTCTAACGATAATGACGATATTAATAAGGAATGAAATCAGTGGTTCGATAACTTAATAGTTCCACCATCCTAAATAAAAACTGTATAGTGAAGTCAAGTTGGATGCTGTTTTCAGAAAATACATAGAACCTCCTAAAAATGCAAGTTGTTTTCCTTCCAACATAGGCTAGTACTGAATAAGCATAATAAGCTTTGTGGATGCTTGAGACCTTAAGTAGATAGCTTTCTAACCTCTATTTCTTTTTGAGTTATTTTCATACTAACTCCTTTTCTATTAGCATGTCATAGATATTTTAAGCAAATTGAACGAATATAGCATCAGGGTCCGCGAATTGCCAGAGATATGTCTGAAAACCACCATTTCCCGGAAACATCCATCAGTTTTCTGACAGGTTAATGTATCAACTAGATGATGCATCATTGTGCTGATATTTTTACATATAGGGTAATTAACCTGATTGGTCCATTCATTACACGAAACTAGAAGTTCAAGTCTAAAGACATGAAGTAGAATTAAATAATCAACTGAGCTGTCAATCAAAACACTACTGGACAATCATAGGAAAAGAGCAAAGAGAGTTTGGATAAGTTTGTGCTAAAACTTCCTCCTTAAAATTGTGTTCCTTATTACCAAAATATTTAATCAAGAGACTGGAGATTGAAATCAAAAATAATAGATCACAAATTCAGACTGGGAAACCACGGATAAATCTATGCATTTTTTGATATGTAATAAATCAATTTTTCTGTCAGAAGTCTTGATATACAAGGCTGCTACAAGATTATATCCAATATGATTGAGTATATTTTAGTAATTTACCCTGAGTGGTTAATTTAATAATACTGGACATCCAAGACAACGAAGCACGACCCTGTCAGTAATGGAAATTGGAAAATTAAATATACATGTATCACAGTATCAGTTGGGAGCACATCCTCATTATCGTGGGGTCAAGTCTATAAGACATTTGACAAACCCTGATGGGAAATTTTGATTAAAATGAAATATGCCCAGAAATGTCAAAATCTTATAGAAGATAAGAACGGAAGGAAATCGGATTCAGGAAATTTCTCATGATAAATTGTCGTTTCTGTCGTATTTTCTCTCAATCACACAATCGGGAGATAAATGTAACATATCAACTTTAATTAAAACCTTGGCAGACATGCCAATCTGATTGGTCGAATCTGATTTGATGGACGAGATTGTCCGATAGTCTGAAAATGTTAAACCCGATTTAATATCCAATCAAATGTCAAGGTTT